GGTGGTATAAAACTATATTTCTTCCATTTTTTTGCATGTTTCAATAGAAGTAATAGCCAAGAGGTGCATTAATTCACCTGGTACAAGTGAGAAAAACCCTTAAAAGATATTTGTAAAATGTGTTTCTGTTGTTATTCATAGGAATTGAGTTGCTTGGTTGCTTTTTCCCATGCACAGTATTTTGCAGAATTCTACAAGTCCGGAAGGCAACTTCAGGAGGCGGCTGCTTGCTATGAAGCAGCAGCTGATTTCTTCCAAAAAGAAGACTTTAGTAGTACCTCTGCAGAGGAATGCAAGCAGGAGGTAGCTCAACTTGCTGCTATGCTTGGACAGTAAGCATGTTCACTTCTTGACTTTTTTTTTTTTTTTCTTTTATTCTGTAAACAACTTTCTTTGTTTGGTGGTTGTGGATGTAGTAAGATGAACTTGATATTGTGAAGATGATTTTGTTATGTTTTTACTTGAGGGATTGTACCCTAATACTCATCCATTCGGAAATCCAATGCCTGGAACAATTGAAAACAGAGAGTTTGAAGCAACTGATGCATCATGGAATTCCCTTTTCATGTAATTCACTATGTTAAGTAGTTGATGTTTAGTGGAAAACGAGTTACTACTGTAAACACATATAGATGTAGGCAATGGGTGTTCTGCTTGGTTGATTTGTAGTTCCCTTGCTTTAAGTCAAATAGATTTGCTGGGTTATCAGGTCAAGTGCCCAAAAAGTATATGAGCAAGTTTCATGACCAAATTATTCTGAAAATACCATTAAGTAGTGTCAATAATTGTTTCCATCCATGTGGTATGTTTTTTAACAATGTTTCTTGTTTTGATCTTGTTACATCATTCCATGAAATAGGACGATAGTATGTAAATGAATAGAGTTTTTGTTATCTGCCAAAAGATCAAGATTTATTCAAATATGTAGTTCATTATTATTGTCGTTGTTGAGAATGGAAGCAACCTGCCTGCAATGAGTTTTCTGACAATTTGAGTTACCTTCTAATATTTCTTCAGGTATCATAAGGCTACTAAAATTTATGAAGAGGGAGCATGGAAATCGCTTAGTGCTGCAATGCTGAAGTCTGGAGTTAAAGGAAATCTTCTTAGTGCTGGCATTTGTCAACTGTGCAAAGGGGATCTTGCAATTACTAACACTTTGAAGCGGTATCAGGTCTGTTTTTGGATTTTGACATTTTAGATGATGTCGGTTAGACTAAATATCTAATAAACATGCTTTTGCAGGAGCTGGATCCATCCTTTTCAGGAACAAGAGAGAACAAATTTTTAGTTGTAAGTCTTGATTGAACAATTGGTTGTGTTTTATGTGTTGCTACATCCAGTTTCCATTCGTTTGGGCCTTTACATTTTTAGTTTTTATGTTTGATTGTTAATGGTTCCTATATTTTATTTTATTTTTTTTATTTTTTGCTTTTTTGTTGTGGCAGGATGTTGCTATGTCCATTGATGCTGGGGATGTTGCAAAGTTTACAGCTGCTGTAAATGAGTTTGGTAGCATGACTCCTCTGGTAAGCATGCCAATCACGGGTTCCATTTAGATTATGGGGCGTTTGGTTGAGCTTCTTAGCAGCAAGTTTATTAACAATGGGATTCTGATATTAGCATAAGAGAGCCATACATATTCTTTGAGCCCGTTTTTACTTCCCATTGACCCAAGTTTGATGCTGTTTGCAACAATGGCATGCAGGACCCATGGCAGAGAACCCTGTTGTTGAGGGTGGAGGAGAAGCTGAAAGCCCCAGATAAAATGTAGTCAGGTTGATGGGCCACGTTCAGAACCTTTATAGTTTATAGTTGTATTGAGAGGAAAATCTGAAAATGAGGGCGAAAGACAAAGAATTTAGGGTTTTTTAAAGTTTCATCATTTTTAAAAAAATTTTTGTTTTAGAATTTTTCCAATTTTTGGTCCAAAATGAGCCCAACCCATTTGGCTAGCCATGAGCTGCATTTTGGTTTTGGTTATTGGGCCCCCTTTCAAAACCGAAGCGAACTAGGCCCTGATAAATTTGAACCCGAACATTTTTACTCAATAACAATTTTACCCAACTCAAATTCAATTTCTAGATTTGGATTTCGATTACCTGAATGGTTAACAAATCGGTTGCCCAGTCCTCCTTTCTCCAAAAAAAATAAATAAATAAAAAAAAAAACAAACAAACAACAAACTCATCTATCTCGGAGGAAAATGATTTTGTTGTCATTTAATAATTAATTATTCACTTAATTAGAAGTTATGATATTATATGAATATAATAATTTAATATTTAATAATTAATTATTTTCATTTAATTAAAATTTATGATATTATATGTATTTATTAATAAAAATAATGTCTATCAATTTTACATCTTAAAATTCAAAAAAAATTGTTTTAAAATTATATTATTTTAATAAATTTTAATTAAAAATTAAAATATTTTTTTTATTTTAATTGTACAATACTACAATGAGAGGTAATTATTTTTAAATTCAGGATTTTTTATTTTAGTAGAATGAGATAACTATTGAATTATTTATGTTATTGATTAAAATGTTTTATTGTACAATACTACAATGAGAGGTAATTATTTTTAAATTCAGGATTTTTTATTTTAGTAAAATGAGATAACTATTGAATTATTTATGTTATTGATTAAAATGTTTTATTTTTAAAGTATAAATAAAAATATTTTTAATTATTTTCATAATTTTTATTAAAATAATATAATTTTAAAATAA